ACCATTCTAAATTTCTAATTTCTAAAAGCGGCAAAAATCTAAAAATTGAATTACTATTATTCAAATACAACTTTCTTTAAAATAAAAAATTTTGGAGATTGAGGGTATAGAATTACGGTTTGACTATGCCTTAATTAAAATTATTGATGTGACAAAAAATTTATTAATATTTGCAACAACAAAAAAATTGTTGATGTGGCAGTTAAGTAAAAAGAAAAAAATCAAAATTAGTAGTATTTATAAATTATTGTTTTTATTAGTGCTATAAAAAATCGGATGATTATTTTGGTTGATTATAATTTGAAATCAGCAAAAAATATCAAGGAAGTCATAAAAGTATTTGCTTTAAGGCACTACTTCTAACAAGGGAAAAGTTATAAAAGCATTTCTTTTTATTAATGAAAAATCTCTCTTTTATGTCAATTTTTTGGATATATTTTTTAACCATTATAATTAGTTTAAAAGGAAAAGTTAAACCTGCAATTTTACCAAATCACCATTTATTAGTTCATTTCGAACATATCATATAAGCCGTCTCTTTAGTTTTAAAAACAATCACCTTTATTTATCCCGATAAGGTTAAAACTCCGCTACTCATATAAAATTAGTCCCGTTAAATTAGTAGGCGAGACTTAATTTAATAGGATTCATTATTTTATGAATATGGAGTTTTTCCCTATCCGGATAGATCTCATTTCTTTATAAACAGATTTGGATTGGATGGATTGTGTATTCTGACTTCTGAGCACTAGTTTTATGTAGTTGTGCGAGTGCAATCACCACTTCTAAAAGGTTAGTGGTAGGTTGACATAAAATTCATAGTTTAAAGGGTTTAATATCATAGGCAAATATGAACAGAGAGATGTTTCAAACGATTTTACGTAGTTGAGTGGATGCAATGATCTTCAAAGATCAACAGGCAAGTTGACACAAGATCAATAAAGGGCATTCGTGAAATTATTCTTAGAAAAAATATGGAGGGCTAACATTTTCAAAAGCAAAATACTAGTTCTAATTATTTTAACAATGTCGTTAGGTTGATACCATTTGAACCAGAAAAACACAAACTTGGTAGAATTCCTTTTCTTGTGACGACCTAATTTTTGCCTTAAAAAACCGCACCAACATTCAGTTGAGCCTTCGCTACATGACTGACGTACATATTACACACACACACACACACACGCACACGTGTATGGGTTTACCACCACTTTTTCAGAACGATAATTTTGCAATTTTCGGGCACATAAGATGATTCACTTCTCCACTCAAAACAATGTTGTCCCATTTATTAACCAGTCTTGTGTATACGGTTACAAAAGTCAAGTATTCTGGAGACGTAGAAATTATAATACATGAAAGCACCAAAGAAATATCATTAATCATTAAACAATTCTATTCAACCACTAAGAAAAAATAATCTGAAAAAGATCCTATAACTACGAAGAATAAATAACACAATAAAAAAATTGATCTGTGATACATTCCAAACTTGACATGTCAAAACTGGTATATAATTACTCTGTTAAATACGATAACATAGTATCAGAAGCGCTCGAAGTTCATATCCAGTACAAGAAGTTAAACGGGATCACTCACATGTGGACTTGATCACGTAACTATAAAGCAGGTCCCGTAGAGAGTGAAAACAACCTCAAAGCCCGTCCGCCATCATGCAGCATCGTTGATCATGGATGCATGGTGGCAACGCTTGTGGAGCAGACGGAATAAAGTAGCATATAAAAGATTCTAGCGACTCCATGGAGACACACTGCGACCATAACCATTGGCATTGCCGTGGCTGTGTCGGAAACGTTTTTCCTTTATCTTCTCTTTTCTAGAGCCATAGCCATTTTCTCTATGCCTTGAGCTGCCCACATCCCCATTGTAGCCATTTTCTCTATGCCTTGCGCTGCCCACATCCCCATTGTCTTTTACCTTTTTCTTACCGGACTTCTCTTTTGCAGAAGCTCTCCTCTTCTTTCCAGAGGAATACTCACTAGGATCTCCAGCAAGATCACCTCCCCGTGGCAGGGGCTCTTCGTCATCCAGTTGCCAATTGCACAACATCTCCTGCTGACCATACTGGGTATTTAATGGCTCCCCTGCTCCAGGAAGCAAGCTATCAAAAGTCACTTGCCTGTTAGACCCTCCCTTGCGTTCCAGCAACACTGCGTCAGGTCTAATTATGGTACCTAAAATGCTCCTGTTGGGGCCTAGGTCCATGATGATCCTAGGATTTGTCAAGGTTGTGAAGGCCATTGAAAACGCTGATCTAATCTGCAACAGATGCAGGGAATGAGATACGGCCAAACAAGACATCCTTTCACTTCTTAATAAGAGGTGGGAAAAGATGGAAGAATTTATGTGGAATGATTAGTCTGGATTTTTGCAATAAATTTTAGTCTGATGCCTAGAGGGGATTAATTAACGTAGTCATTCCCTTACGTGGTGCAAGCCAAACAAATATATAGCTCAACTGTTAAAATAGACTTAAATGTGGTTCATTGACTGGTTGAATTGAACAAACATTTGGCATTTTGATTGAAGTAACCAACATTATTAATCTTGTTCCTTTCAAGCTTTTTAGCAAAGAGACGCATCAAATGAAGGAAAGAAAATATCATGACTGTCAGGAAGAACGAATAGTATTTTTGATGATAGTGCAGTCTCAATCTATTAGGATACACAAGCCATTAAAAACTAACACCCAAGTGGAGAGACGAAGCAGATTTAGTAAATTTTATATTATAAAATGAGTATATAAAATGCAGGCAAACGCATACATCTGTACAGACAAAGTTAAAAACAGCAATAGACCTATTTCAACCTACAAATTCAATTCCTGCCCTTTCAGTAATCATATATGGAGAAAGTAAGCAAAGAAACAACAAACCTGAAAATAGTTAAAGGAGTTCTTCCCTATGTCATTTTCTGATGCCTAGGTCATCATGAAAAAAATAACAGTAATCAATGAACTGGAAAAAAAAAAAAAAATCTAGGAGACAGAATTCATGCTGTATTTTTCAAGACCATACAATAAAACAAAATATTCAACAAACCTGTGGATCCTGAATAGAGATAAGAAAAGGACGTCCTGGAGTTGCAAAACTAAATGAGAAGAAAACCAACTAACTTTAGTAAAATCAAAGTTCAATTCAGAGAAGTGATGAAAATCAAGAGGTAAATATCATATGACAGCATTTGTTGGCTAATTACACGGATAACTAAATTGCACAGCGAGCAATGGTGTGAAGGGGGAAAATTTTCCATATACCCTTTGCTAATCTTCGAGAAAAAGGTGCCTCCCCCATTGCAAGATACACCAACATCTGAGGTGTTCAATTTGCGTCCATAAAAATCAAAAAAGTTTACCTGCTCTCAGAAAGCAAGATACAAATGAAAGAAAGCAGACCATGAGCCCGTGAATATTTCTAGAAGTTCTAGGCAAGTTTAAATCTGTTGCCTGGTAGTTATTATATATGAGCTATGTAATTATTAGTATCTCAGAATAGATGCATACCTCTGAGTTTGAAACGGCTCATGCCTAGTAGTTGGGGATTAAATGTAAACCAACTTTGGCTTTAAGAAACAATGAAATACTAGAAAAGAAAACACTACCAAGGGATTTGCTTAAGAAACACTTACCAGAATAACTCCCAAATTGCCCTCTGGTTCCCTTAGGCTCTGTCACAGGAAAATGGAAATGTAAGCAGTGAGCACTGATTAGCCTTCATCAAAATCATGTGTATATGTGCCATCTACACGCATATATACACATGCAACACCAAATTAGAATTGCATTAACTTAACAAAATGCATGCAACAAAATCACTTGCCTGCAACATTGCCATGAGCATGGTAAGGAGGGCATAAGAACCTAATCCGCCAGAGTACACCTTAATAGTTTATTGGAATATTGAATTAGGACGACTGGAATGGGAGATTTTGAAAAACAAACCAATTGACGTTTTGATATATGGCTTATGCAAAAAGAACGTACCTCATTCAGTTCCCTCTGCTGTAAAAAAACTTTTAAAATTAAACACAGAGGCCGTAAAGGAGGCATTTTTGATACCACATCCTGAAAAGGTGAACATATGACAATACGACCAAACAAGCTGAATTTCCTTCCTTACAGTTGATGGAAGAATTATTGGTTATCATATCTTACACATAAATATCAATGTGTCCCTATCACTTGAACCAATGGAAGAAGAAAATCTTGAATACCAAAAGCAAAAGCCCTGAAATTACAGACTTAAAGCTAAATTGAAATTTACCCCAAGGCTTAATCTGAACAATGCCAAGATTTAGTAACAGATGAATGACCCAAGAGGTTCTCAGTCATAAGATGTATTTGCTCACTGTGATATATTTCCCATTATGATTAGCATCAATTCCATTTTACCACTGCAAACAGCATCAAAGCTTGCCTTCCCATCTCTATGTGCATGCTATTCAGAATCATTGACTTCTCTTGCAGGAATTTGGTTATTCTTTTAAATGAAAGTGTGTGTGTGTGTGTGTGATGTGTATTATTTAACATGTTTATAGAAGCACTACCACTGCTCATCTAGCCGTAACAACTTAAACATTGGATAGCAGTCTTGTATTCCATGTAGGAAATAAGTAACAAAATTGCATTTATAACATCCTTAAAAGCTCGAAGACAAGTTTAGTGCTCCAGCCTGATGTAAAACATTACAACACATTTTTCTTTTAACATAATAGGATAAGAGATAATGCAGCAAACCTTTATGAACTCAGCAGCTACTGGTCCATTCTGCACATCAAAACTGTGAAGCAAGAGACAAAACATAAGATACTAAGAGGGGAATTGCGCTAAAACAAATAGAGAATGCAACCCTCAAGTGGCATAGTAGTAACCAATACAAGAATGTACTTTAAATGTTTCAAATCATAGCAGAGCAGATAGATAGGCAAACCTTATATCGAATGCAACACCACTTTTCTTTTCTACAAATTTAATAATCGGCACACGAGCCTTTGCAATGACCTGAAGAATTGGTAGCCAAAACCAAGAATGAGAAAACAAATTCTGTTACTATTAGTACACTCATAATAAACAGAGATGCACCTGCATCTTTTTCACCAAGCTCCTCTGTGACAATGCTCGAGAAAGAGCCTGCAAACCTTGCTGCGGGTTTGGGATCCCTGCTCCCAAAATCACAACCTACAATTAATATCAATAAAAGTATGGACCGTCATCATTTAACACATAAGTAAACTTAGAATCATCAAATTCCATATTAACAAGAGACGGAAAAAAAAGAGGCAACAATTTTCATTAAATTTTAGGACATTTAAGACAAACCATTATCAGTTCTCAGAATGGAGAATGTCCAGAAAAGATTTACACTTAGACGTATTGAATAAAGACAAAGCCAAGATATAGCAGTTATACCAAAGAACAGTACCAATTCATAAATTTGTAAGAAAAGGGATCAGCATACTCACATCAATGTCACTGCTCGGAAGATAAAGCCCTGTCTTGAATGATCCAAAAACTTCTACCTACAAATTCACCATAAGAATTGAAACTCCACGGCAACAAAACAGAGAGAGAGAGAATGAGAGACAATTATACCTTACAGTTTGGCCATATATATTTGATAACATCAAAGACACGTTCAATAGCTGCATTTCGCGCATCTTGCTCTTCCGGAGTAGGAGACAGAAACTCGCAGAAATCAACTATCTCTGCAACACACTCAATTTCAACTTCCACAACCTCACGAATTACTACTCTAAACCGAATCGAAAATGGAACCAAAATCCATACCTTTATGAAGCTGAAGCATTGGGCTCTTGAATTTGCTATTGCCGCGGAACCAGCCGCTCTCGAGCCTCGGCTCGGCTTCCCGGGCCGGCGTCTTCGGCTCGGCGGCCTGGCGTGGCGGAGCCGGAGACGCCGGGACCGAGTCGGAGCCGTCGGCGCCGACATCGAGGGAGAAGAAATCCTGCGTGGTGGTTGCCGGCGATGCGGAGGGGAGAGAGGAGAGGGAAATCTCGTTGCGGAACACGGTGAAGGGTTCGAGGTCATCGGGCGGCGGAGATTGGTTGGCGGAGGATAAAGCGAGCGGGCTTAGGGTTTCGTAGAGGAAGTTTTGTGAAGTTTCCTCCATTGGAGAATCACAAGAGAAACAGCAAACTTGTATTAGTTTGAAGAAGACGAGGCAGGAATAATGTTAATGTTAATCATCATTAGGTTTGGGTTTTCTGGCGCCGAGAATCACCGCAGAACGGAACTAGTGTTGAGGTTAAACACGTTCCTTATTATTGTCAAAAGAAGAAGAAACACACACAGTCACACACACAAAAAAAAAGGTTTTGTTTTATATCATTAAAAAATTAGTAACTACCCATATGGCTTCTTTCTAGTTTTTCAATCTATTTTAATTTAAACAAAAAATGATATCCCCTAAAAAAAACATTAAAAAGATATGAAATTTAAGTTTGTGTGAAAAAAAGAAAATACTAAAACAACAAAGTTTAATTGTGATTTAATTCGACGAAAAGATTTGGGCCAATATTTACTATTTTTTAAAGAAAAAATTGTGATCGATGTCGTTTGTGCCACAAACAACTCTTAACATATGCAAGTGATGTTTGATATATAAGTTTTGTTATAATGTAAATTCATAGTTTTAATTTATTATAGTATTTTTTAAAAAAATTTAAATTTCAAAGTGTTTTTCTTTTAAAAAATTTAAATTTCAAAAATCATGACCCTAATTTAAACTCTAATTTGAACCCGCGTACTTCATTTAAACCGATAATGGTGTGCAAGTCAACCTATGAAAAGACTTTTAATTTAAAGATGAGGATGACACCAAAAGCAGACGTGGACAAATTCACCTTATAAAGGAAAAAATGATTAGAGAAGAAAAAAAGAAAAACGATTACTTTATTAGAACGTTTTAATCGTTTAAAAGTCCAACAAAATCTGCCAGCGCCAAAGAAATCATCTTCACGAAGTAATAGGCTGTTCTCTTCAACTCTAAGATTCTATACTTGGAAAATCAACCAAAACAAATTCAGATAATCTGGATCTTCAATAGTACCAATCTCTTTGACATCACTTAAAATCCTTCATAAATCCAAACACATGATCTTATCCCCATTATCCACAATATACACAGATATGGGCAACATTTTGTTCAAACAAATTCTATCTTCTCCTCTAAACAACATCATCATGTTTTCTCAAACCTCAATTCCCTCTTTCCCTTCTTCCCAATACACCTTAACTCTCGATTTCCTCGCAACCCTAATCCTCTGTGTCACGATCGCCTTCTGCTTTGTCCTTTTGTACCACATTCTCTTTAGCCTCCTTTCTTGGCTTCAAGACATGAGGTCAAACCACAATATTCTTGAACAAACACAAATCATTGACTCTAACATGTCTCATCAAGTTCATTTCTATCGATCTCTCGTACAATACAATGCGCAACTGATCGACATGTTGGAGAGATTTGTGCGCGACATCGACGAGAGAAGAGGCCAGAGGCTGAGGGAATCGAATAGGCTGCCGCCATTGATTAGTTACGGTAGCCGCGAAAGGCGGTCGAGTTATGGTGGCGGTGATGAGTGTGTCATTTGCTTGGAGGACTTGGAAGATGGCGAGTCGTGCCAAGTTTGGCCTGTTTGTAATCATATTTTCCATACCAATTGTATAGACCACTGGTTGAAGAATAGACATACTTGCCCTGTTTGTCGTAATTGCCTCTTAGATGTTTGAATGTATAAATAACTGTAAATGTCAAGATTATTTTATCATTGTTTGATTTGGGTTTTGGGGATTTCGTTAGAATGTCACACAGATTTTATTTTTTATTTTTTTATTTTTTGTAATGATCTTTTGAGTAATTTGAACCGAATGCGTGCCCCCCAATTGGCTAATAAATCATTTCAAAGAGAAAAGCATTTTTGTAGAAAACTTTGCAATTATTTATGAAGTGCATTAATTTATCATGTTTTGACTTGTGGAGAAATGATTAATGTGAGTCTTATAAAGAGAAAGAAAGTCCATCCTTCAAGATGAATCCCTGTGTTATTTGATTGCGCTTTGTCTCTAGACCCAGTAGAATTACCAACTTTAGCGTTGACGGGATTTACGTCTTTTGGAATAGAGAAGCATGAAATAATTAGCATACAATACATGCACGATTTCGAATTTCCCAAACAAAAATATACCTTTCAGCAAGATTTTCACAACTGCCCCTTAGAAATAATACTTCCGACTAAAACAATATCTGACCGTACCAATTTCAATAACGTCATGCCATATCTTTTAGAACTATCATATAAGATAAAAACACGTCAAATCAATTAAAATGTCACGTAAGATAATAACATGTTATGTGGAATTTTAATTGACATATTATAATGGAATCAAAATATGTTGTCCTATTTTTTTATCTTTGTGACTGTCCCTCAAATTAAATTTTGACACCTCGTGATTTGCTTATATATGTTCAGTATTTTAGTCATATTTATGTCATTAGATTCTTAAATTCAGATAACATGACAAATAATTAAATAAAAGATAGCTGCCAAGACAGAAAAAAGGAACAACATATTTTAACTCGTCATAATATTATTAGAGGAAATGAAACGGACAGGGTAAAGAAGACGAAAATTGGATCCTTGAATGTACTTATATATCATCAGATTGCAAAAAAATGAAAAAGCAAATAAAGAAACTATCATATAAGATAAAAACACGTCAAATCAATTAAATGTCACGTAAGATAATAACATGTTATGTGGAATTTTAATTGACATATTATAATGGAATCAAAATATGTTGTCCTATTTTTCTATCTTTGTGGCTGTCCCTCAAATTAAATTTTGACACCTCGTGATTTGCTTATATATGTTCAGTATTTTAGTCATATTTATGTCATTAGATTCTTAAATTCAGATAACATGACAAATAATTAAATAAAAGATAGCTGCCAAGACAGAAAAAAAGGAACAACATATTTTAACTCGTCATAATATTATTAGAGGAAATGAAACGGACAGGGTAAAGAAGACGAAAATTGGATCCTTAAATGTACTTATATATCATCAGATTGCAAAAAAATGAAAAAGCAAATAAAGAAAAAAAGAAAAGCAAAGAAAACGCCTTAGAACCCCCCCATTATCCAGATATACTTGAGTCCAGATAAACAATGAATGCTCTATGCTTGTGGCGATTTCTATCTGTAACAAATGTTGTTCTGGTGATTATATCCCATAGGCACACGTGGTTTTGGATTTAGTTGTTCAATATATGCTTCTAAATCAAACAAATAAACCAATAAACCAAACCCACAAGCTTTACAACACACGCATTTCTTGTATGGTTTGAGTTTGGTGTGATATTCCAAACTAAACTTCTATAATGAGGACATTGACATATTTGCACAACCAACGCATATGTGTTTTCTATGGTTTAGGTTTTCATCCCACATAACATCCACACACAACAGTTAATTTGTTTTAAACAAATTAAACTCGAAGTGTTTTAGCAACAGACTTCATAGACAAATGACACAACAATCAGCCTGCAAGCGATAATAAATACATTAGTTGCGGTACTCCCCCCCGCCATGAACACTATGGTTCTTCAATTATTTGTTATTTCCCCAACACTTTTTTCTACAATTTTCTATTTTTTCACTGGGTTCTGCATTCTTCTCGTGATCCTCCTCTTCATCATCGCCTTCTCGGTCATGGTGTCCCTCATCATCGTCTCTCTAGTCCACATCTTCTGCAACGTTTTTCACCGACACTTCCACGAGATCCAACGAAATGATCTCGAAACGGGAGAAACATTTCCTCCACTTGGTGAGGAGGATCATGACGATGAGGCATTTCGAGCTTCCTCGACGCACAACAACCTGCAGATTCTGGAGATGCTCGACGGGATCATCAGAGACCTCGGTGAAGGAAGAGGGTCGAGGCGTAACAAGAGGATGCACAAAGTGTTGGAGAGATTGCCACCGCAGGTTAGCTATGGAAGCCATGAATTGAAAACGAGTTCCAATCATGAATGTGTATTTGCTTGGAGGATTTCGAAACAGGGGATTCGTGTCAGGTCTTTCCGGTTTGTAATCACATCTTCCATTCGATTTGCTTAAGAAATTGGATGACAAAAAACCTAACCTGCCCGCTTTGTCGAAGTTGTATCTTGGAAAGTGAATGAGGTTTTAAGATTTTAATTACAAATATATGTTATTTAGATAGGATAGCAGTCAAATGTATTTATTGTAAATATGAAACATTGATTTATACTTGGAAGAATTTTACAATAGAACATGAAACATATTTCTCGACTAGCACAACATTCTCATATTTTGTACTCTTTTTTTTTTTTTTTTTGCTTTAGAAATTATTTTTCTTCTCTCCTTCTGTTTGCATTTCAAGTGCCTATATGTTACCATTAACCTCTGCCCGCAAAATCATTCAACTTGCCCTATTTTGAGACTATGCAGCTTCTCATAGCTGTATTCCAGCGATTCACACACGGTTTAGGCCAAAAAAAAAAAGAAAATCCTGCTAGAAAGTAATTTTATTCTCGTTGACAAATTCTTATGGTCGGAAAATTGATTCCAGAGTATTAATAGCTTGAAACATAAAAAAGACTATCAAGGAAATAAATTAAGAACCAAACTTACTATTATCAATCTTCATCATCATCATCATTACCACTTCCGTAATCAAGAACAAAAGACGAATCAAACGTCCGAGTAACAAAGCCATCATTGAAGCCTAAAAACAGAGACACTTAAATGACATTTCTCATCGCGCAAGATGACGATAATATTACATTCAGTCATCATCACTTATTTCATCATCACTTCCTGCAATGAAATCGTCGTACAGGCCCTCCTTGTAATCATCGTCATCTCTAGAATCAACGAAATCGTTGTCGGAATAATCGTCGTCATCGTCGTCAACTACTCGCTTTGATTGACGGGCCTCGAGGGCAATACCGGAGTTTATAGCTGCCCAAATTTGTTCTACGCCGATGACTGCCTGAGATTTTAGAGAACAATCGTTGCAGAGGTGTCCGCGAAGATCCGCGGCTTCAGAGATCGGTTTCTGAGTCGCACTCCGCAGAGCCTGAACAAATTCATCATTGGAGGGAGCAGTTTTTGACCGCACCGCGGACAAGACTGAGCTGCGGAGGAGATGGAGAGGGGCTTTGGCGTCCTTGAGAATCATTTTGGCGGCCATTTTTTGGGACTCTGGATTGCGTTGTAAGTTCTTGCATGCGGTTGGGGAATTGAATGAGAGTTTCACTTTTATATATAGGGAGAGGGTTTAGGGTTTTAGGCGTTAGTGGAGAAGTTTGTTCTAGAGAGTTCATAGAATAATGCTACCTGGATCTCATGGGCAGAATTTGGGGGCAAGTTTGCCTTTTTGATCATTTATTATTATTTGTTTAATCTTTCGGTTAATCAATCGAATCTTTCGGCTAAGCCCTAGGGCCGATCAGTAAATTAGGTGACATGCCACTCAATTTTCTATCACTTGATACGAGGATTCAGACTAAAGTAATTTTAATTATAATTTTAGAATCAAAATTATGATTCATGATTTTAAATTTAAATTATAATTCTAAAACCATAATAAAATTAGAAGTTTAAATCACCTTAAATTAAGAGAATGGTAGCTTTAGAATCATAATTTAAGTTAGTTTAAAATGATAAATTTAAATTATGTTCACAATTCAAATTTAAATAATCACATTATTTAAATAATAATTAATTCTCAATTAATTATTTTCGAGTGTTTAATTTTAGAATTTCGTAATTCTAAAATTCTCATTTTACCCTTTGTGTTGGTAGAATTACAAGGACGACGCATGGACTAATAGACCTATAATCTCGATCACCAATAAAATTAATAATTAATTAAACACTTTAATTAATTAATTAATTAATTTCATTAATTCTAATAGTTACTCCATTATAAACTTGGAATTGCACTCTCGAAATTATAGACATAAATTACTTTTAAATTGTGAAGAGTCCATTTGATATAGTCACTGCATATAGATCAATCATCTATAAATAATTTATAATTAGAGCTAGGTAGAATTCGTTAACCTCTCTAATTATATCTTCATCCTTGAGTACCATTGATTCTCTAATGGATAGTGATTCATAAAACACATTCATGAACCAGAGCACTCTTACTAGTCCAAATACCGAATCAACACTCAAGAGAATTATTTATGTGTTTCTTTCTCAAGAATGAATGGATTCCATCTTGTATAATAACATTCTCGACTACCTACTTCATCATGTCTCCAAAATACAAGGAATAGAATTCAGGGTCTCGGAATCTGTACCGAGTAAATCAAAAGATACAAATTCATAAATAGGAGTTTGTTAAGAATTCAATATTAAGATCATGCTATATATGACCACCGGTAGACTCAATTAGAATTTCTATACTTAACAGAAATTATTAGAAATTCATATTGTGTATGTGTCATTGTTCCACATAATCTCATTATGTGTAATACACTCATTCAATATCTCACCATATTAAAAGTGCAGATAACACCGTTCCATTCTAAATGAAAATGATATGTATTAGTAATGTTATAATTAAAGATTCTGAACTTTAATTAAATTTATTACGGACATCACTTTTTGATTATTATCCTTAAACATTATCCTCTCGCATACAACACTTAGATACAATGTTTAAGGTTACATAAATAATCACGAAATTTTCATTTGATATTCATAAAATATTCACAAATATAAGCACATAAAATGATGAATAAACTCTTTTATTAAATAAATAATAAATATCTTATTACATCTCATGCTTCTAGGACACCATTTCTAACATAAACATACTCTTAATTTTTTTATTTTACAAATCTATACCACCAATTAATTAGCGTTTGAATTTCTACCCGGTTGATCATTTTATTTACATTGATCAGACACTACTTAATTAACCTCAACACAAATTACTCTATCTAAAATAAACCTAATCACTTTTGTCTCATATTTATCTCTTTTCCATCTCTATCTCGCCCCTCTCGTTTTCTTCTCTCCTCCATGTCTAATCGAGTGCAAGAGATCACACGACCACATGTCAAGAATCACACTAAGGATCCGTTTAGTTCATTGATTCTAGTTTTTAATTCGAATTGAGATGTGACTTTATGTAAGAGCTTTTTACTGTAGCAAAAAAATCAGCTGTTGCTGTTTTAAAGAGCTTTTTACTGTAGCAAAACTCGAATCGACAAAATGAATAGGGCCTAAACATGACAGAGTGAGGAAGGCTCCATCAACATGTGCTCAATGCAATCTCCCATTGGAGATCGAAGATTACGTTGTCCCTCAAATTTGACGAGTTTACAAATCCGATGATGCAGATTGTTATGGACAAGTCCGATTGAGATTGCGAGTTGGCTTCATCTGCACACTTCTAAAAGAAAACAACAGTCCGAACAACCATGCAATATCCACGACATCGTCTTCGTTTGAGAGAAAATCCAATTATGTGTTTTGATTTTTTTTTAATTTTTGGTTTTCTTTTTTTTTTAACGTATTTAATAATATAGTTTATAATATTTAATAATCTAGTTAATAATCTTTAACTAGTGTTTGAAGAACACAAATCCAATGCTCTAATATCTTATGGCATAAATTCAATTTTCAAGTTTTGTTGGGGCATTCCTCCTAATTGCTAAAGAGTATTCAAGAGATAAAGAGTACCAGTGCCAATTTGTATAGATTTTCTTTATGGAATCGCTACTAGCTACTAGATGTGCATTGTAAATTTTACAAATAATTAAAAACTTAATAGCTAGAGCGGTGTGGTTGTGCCAATTTGTATAGATTTTCTTTATGGAATCGCTACTAGCTACTAGACGTGCATTGTAAATTTTACAAATAATTAAAAGCTTAATAGCTAGAGCGGTGTGGTTTCGACCTCTCTGGGGCCTACCCGGTTCAGCTTTGAATTTTGACTCACCAAACGGATCGGTCGAATGGATCTTACATAAGGAGAAGAATATATTGAGTCTGTTTAGTTCGTTAATTTGAATTTTTAATTTAATTTGAGATGTAATTTTATATAAGAGCTTTTTATTGTAATAAATAAGTTAGATGTGACTGTTTTTGAGAAAATTTTTTACTGTAATAAAAATTAAATTTTAAACTAAATTTTTCTGTTACAGTAAAAAACTCTCACATAAAATCACATATCAACTCAAATTGAAAATTCAAATCAACAAATTGAACAAGATCAGTTGATTTCCTATCCTTGCAAAAAGCTCTAATCAATTCTAATATACTGTGTATATCTAAGGCCCCGTTCATTTTACTAATTCAAGTTTTACTATAGTAAAAAGCTATCAGAAACAGTTACATTTAACTTTTTTGTTACAATAAAAAGTCTTCATATAAAGTCACATATAAACTCAAATTAAAAACTCGAATTAATAAACTAAACGGGTCTTAAATTCATATCAATAGTCCAACCTTCTAAATCCAATAGAGCAATAAGATTAACAAAAATGCAAAAGTGATTGAAAAAGACCCCGGAATTCAAGACCAAAGAAGCAAACTTTACAAGAATTACATAAAGCAAACTATTTGGGACTATAAAACTAAATATGCATTACGTTCACTCCACCCACTTATGGTTCAAAAAAACTATTGAATCTACGACATTTACATCAAACAAGTTTGTGCAATTGTCATAGTGGTATTAGCTTTGGATAGTGCTGCAAAACATCTTATGGATCGTTTTCTTGGTTTGAGATGGAAAAAGATAAGGGAAACCAAACATGTTAAAACCTATGAAATATAGAAGAAACACATGAGAAATGATCAAGCAAAGATAAACAAATAATTAAGAGTAAGATCTTGAACTCCTCGACAGTTACTTTTCTCTCCTTGTATTGATCGAAATTAAAAATACTATTTAGAGTCTAATTCTTTTTTTGAATACATGCATTGTAGATTAGTGACTCAAATAATCAGAGTGATAAAATTTCTTTAAATGGTGTGAAAATTGAAACTTCTAAGAAGTTTAGGTACCTTAGATTTATAGTGCAATATAAATGAGATCTAGAAAAGGATGTTCAACATAAAATTAAGGCAGAGTGAGTTAAGTGAAAGAATGTTATGAGAATTTTATGTGATGACAAAATGCCTATTAAATTGAAAAAAAAATTCTATAGGATTGCAATCCGTTGTTGGCTCATTAAGAGACAATATATATGTAAGATAAGTGTAATGAAAATGCGTATATTAAGATAGACGAGTGATCATACGAGAATAAATTGCATAAAGAACGAAGTTATTCGTAATAAAATAAGTGTAACACCAATAAAAGATAAGGTGCACAAAGACTATTTAAGGTGGTACGAACATGTCTAATGTAGACCGCTAGAAGTATCAGTTCATGTTTGAGAGGATATTTTTATACCTAATATTATGAGAAAGAGAGGTAGACTAAGAATTACGTAGACTAAAATAATTAAAAATGACATTTTAAATCTAAACATTTAAAAAAATCTAATTTTAACATAACTGTATATTAAATTAAAATCTATATAACCCATCTTAATTAAATTGAAATTAAGACTCGTTTGTTTGCTGTTGTTATAGCAGAGTTTAATATTTAAATTCTCATGACCAAATAAAAAACTACAGTGATGGAAGGATTTTTTTTTTTGGCCCCTTTTTTGTTTTGTAATTGTGCACAAGTGAAAGGCTACAATTACCCACATAAATTTTGCATTTTTTTTTTCAAATTTCCCCCGTAAATGATTGAAATTTGCAGCTTAAAAAAAGCAACATATACACGATTTCTTGAACTCGATTAAATAGCAATCAAAGTTAGCTTACAACAAACTCAGTAAATTAAAATAAAAAAAACCTAAATTCTTACGAAGAATCTTTGTTACTACGGAGTCTGTAAACAATACGGCCTCTAGTAGAATCGTAGCGACTGACCTCAACCTTAACCCTATCTCCTGGCAAAATCCTGATAAAGCTCTTTCGGATTTTCCCAGAAATGTAGCCGATAATCATGTCGGCGTTGTCCAATCGGATTCGGAACATACCATTCGGAAGCGACTCCGTCACGAGGCCTTCCTGGCTCCACTTCTGCTGCTCTGCGCTGTCCTTAGAGCCAGGCGCTTTCGCAGTCACCACGAAAGGGCTCCGATTCTGTTTGGCAGCTGAGAAAGTTGGGGTTCGGAGAGAAAACTGAGATTCTGGGTTTATTGGGGACGAGATTATAGGAAAACATGGTTTTGGGTTTGGCGTTGTTGGCGGCAGAGGAAGATGAAGAAGTGCGTGTTGGAGCGAAGTCGAGCTCCACATTTGGTTCAGAGAGGAGAATGGATTTCAGTGGTTGGTTCTGTTTCGGATTGCGTTTTGGTATTCTCTTTTTAACCTAACTTCACCTTCTAGACCAGAAAAGAAAACTAGTCCTCGTTTTGCAAGGTTTATTATTATTATTACTATTATTATTAGTCTTATTATTCTTATTATTATTCTTGTTATTATTCTTGTTGTTGTTGTTATTCTTATTATTATTATTATTATTATTATTTGTTGTTGTTGTTAATATTATTCTTATTATTATTATTATTATTATTATTGTTATTGTTATTATTATTATTTAAATTACAGGGACAACTTTACCGTAATATAGCATTAGCATACCTTCTCTTGAAAATTACAGGGACAATTTTACCGTAATATAGCATACATTCGTATTTTTAAGAGAATATATTTCACCCTGATTTTCCTTGATTTAATAATTTTATACTTCGATCTAGTGCCGGAATTTCGGGTCGGCGGGCTGCCCGAAGCCCGAATTTTTTCGGGCTCGGGCGGGCAAGCCCATTTCCCGCCCGCCCAAGCAAAATTTTCAGGTTCGGGCTCGGGCAACCTGAATTTGACATGTCCACACTTGCTCGCTGCTGTCTAACCACCGTATACCGCCGTCCGTCGGGATTTTTTTGAATTTTTCCGACCATGCCCGAACTGCCCGACCCAAAAAATGCCTGAAAATTCAATGTGCCCGAACCCGCTGCCCGAATTCACTCAAACGAGTATTTTTTTGAATTTTGCCTGAATTTTTCCCGCCCGCCCGAGATTCCCGAACTGCCCGAGGTGCCCGAATACCCGAAAACGGCTAGTTTTTTTGAATTTTTACCCGAATTCTGTCCGAAAACCCGACCTGCCCGAGTTGCCCGACTGCCCGAATTACCCAAAACGGCTAGTTTTTTGAATTTTGCCCTAATTTTGTCCGAAAACCCGAATTGCCCGAGGTTGCCCGACTACCCGATTGCCCGAATTTCAAAAAATAGCCGTTTATCCCTTTTTTTTTTTTGAAAAAAAATCATTTGTTAACCCTAAAATTTTCCTATAAATACCCCTCATCCCCCACACATTTTTCTCACTCAAACTCTCTTAATCCCTCTCAATCTCTCTCCATCTCTCTCAATTTCTCTCAATCTCTCCCACAATTTTTCTAAAGCTCTCTCTCTCACAAATTCATCTTATTTTTTTATAATGGATCCTTTTTGTTATAGTGGTATTCCCGTTGATGCCCAACATAATGTAGAAGAAGATCAATTTCCCACTAATGAGTTTGTTACGCAGCAATCTACTAATCCAAGCCATGGTGGACATATTGGAGGTCGTGGTCGCAATAGTGGGCGTGGAGAAGCGGCGGCGAGTGCGACTGCGTCTGCGTCTGCGTCAGCAAGTGTTGCAACCTCCAGAAGGAAATGCAAGCGTACCTCGACAGTTTGGGATCACTTCAACATAATTGACGAGGTGGATAATGAAGGTAACACTAAACATATAGCTCAGTGTAAATATTGTTTATCTAAATTACAAGGTGACACTATTCACGGCACCACACACTTGAGACGACACTCTGAAAAGTGTCTTCAAAAGCTTAGCCAATCTAGCGGACTCGAACTCCGCCAAACACAATTATCTTTTGATCGCGCAACCGGTGGTCTAACCACTTGGAAATACGATCCGCAAGTAGATCGTATGGAAGTTGCGCGAATGATAGCTGCTTTAGATCAACCACTTAGTTTTGTAGAGCACCCTAATTGGCAATGATATATTAAGGTTGTACACAATTATAATGCACAATTCACTTCAAAAACTACTCTTAGGAAAAATTTATTAAAATTATTTAAAAAAGAAAAAGATGTATTAATAAACCTTCTACACTCGACTAGCGGGTGCGTTGTGTTAACGGCAAATATTTGGTCTGCCATTGCCAATAAAGATTATTTAGCTGTAACCGGACATTACTTTAAAGGATTTGATTTAGATAAGAGAATATTAGGTTTTAAATGTGTTCTAGGATCACATAGCGCAGATTTAATATATAACACAATTTTAAATGTAATTGATGAATTTAGTTTAAGAGATAAAGTAATGGCTATAACATTAGATAATGCTAGTGCCAATACAAAAGCAATTGAATTTTTTGAAAATGATTTAAGTCTATTCGGTGACGATACTATTTTCCACCAATGTTGTGCATGTCATGCAATTTAATAGCTAAATCCGGTTTAAAACAAATGGGTAATCACATTAAAAGAATTAGAGATAGTCGTGCATGGATTCAAGGTAGTAACCAAAGACAAGAAGATTGATTTAGGTTTTTACAAGCATTAAATATACCTCATAGAGCATTAGCATTAGATATGCCTATAAGATGGAACTCAACTTATATTATGCTTCAACAATGCATCCATTATAAAGATGCTATAACAAACTATATGTGTGCAAAATTAAGAGTAGGACATATAGACGCATTTGATTGGTAAATTGTCAAAGTTTTGTATCAATTTTTAGGTAGGTGATTACGCCCAAACGTGTAAAAAAACAAGCGGTCAATTGTAGTACAATTTGAACGGTCGATCCCACAAGGAAGTGTTAAATTGAACAAAAAATGATTAGCAAATAAAAAACGTTAGGAAAGTAAGCAATCAAACAAAGAAAAAGAATGAGTGTTTTTAATGATTCTATGAACAATTTAAAATGGAGAAAATTCAATAAATAAAAGTGGTAAGACTTTGAGAATCCTCCATATGCTTTGTTCACCTATTTAGATTTTGATTCATTAATTGACTCAATTGAAAGTTTCACATCCCAAGCAATCAATTGGAAAATAAATATTTGAAGAACATATGAATTAAAAATGTATTCAAGTAAATAAAATTCTAACGTTTAGAATTAGGAAAAATTATCTTATGAGAAATCCAAGAGCGACAATATACCGTTGGCAATAATACAGTAAAAGACTACTCATAAAATAATACCGATCAATATATCATATAATGCAACAATCACATAAAAAAAGCTTGACTAGATTTATATGAGAGTTGACAATAAAATATATTGATAAGAAGAAGAAATATAAAAAAAAGAAAATTATTTACTCAAATGTATAAAACTTACAAACCATTGGAGAATAAAAAATCCAAATAAGTTCACTACACATATAAGATCATCTCTAGCCTCACCTAATTACTCTAGCCTAGCTTGCACATAATTCTCATAAAATTCTAAAAAGAAAGTATGAGAATAAGAACAAGAAAATAAGAGAAAATGTGTGAGAATTTAGATTCTAAAAATTCATCCTTTTATCACTTAGATAATGATCCTATTTATAGAGTTTGAATATGCTAAGAATATACAAATCGGATGCTCAATCGAGGGAGAAAAACATCATGTTTCTGAAGAGTGGGACACGTGTCGCAACTTGATTCGCGCGCAGGAGAGACGTGGTACACAGCTGGGCCACGCTGGAAGAGAACTGGACGCGCACGGGAGAGAAACTCACGCGGAGAGGGAAAGTGCGCGCAAAACGTGCATACGCGGGGGGCAGCTGGACACGTGGCGAGACCTAGCTAGAGGGGCGCTGGCACGTGGGACCCACGCGGAAGAGAGAGGGAGTCCGGGTGACGCGCGCGTGAGGAGAACTTGCGCGGAGGAAGCAGCGTGCGCGCCAAGCGCGCGTACGCGGGGGAGCAGCTGGGTCCCACGGCCTGCGGTGCGGCAACGGTCGACACGTGGCGCTGGGCTGGATCGCGGCTGCCTCAAAAACCCGAGTTGCCCGAAAACCCAAAAACGGCTAGTTTTTTGAATTTTTACCCGAATTCGGCCCGAAAACCCGAATTGCCCGAGTTGCCCGAACTGCCCGAATTGCCCGAAAACGGCTAGTTTTTAGTGGAACATACTACCCAACATCACCTTTAGCTTGAGGAGAACTTTTAAGAATTAGTATTTTATTTCACGAATATAGGGAGGACCCAATCTTAGGAGTTCTTGTTCATTCTATGAAAAAAAAATTTAAAAAATATTGGTCTAAGTTACCTTTGTTATATGGTTTAGGTATAATTTTTTATCCTAGATTAAAATTAGACGGATTAGAAAGTGGTTTAAAAAATTTAGGTGAATTTTTAGGCATCATTTGTACGGATCAATTTTCAATAATAAAGGCAAAAATATATGAGATCTATAGTAAATATGATATTAGGTTTAGAAGCACAAACTCTAGAGTATATGAACCGCAACAACAGAATGAAAACCCGCATTCATTCTTGAATGTTTTCGGGTTAAAGAAGAAGAAGAAGAAGACAACTCAAACGGAAGCTGTGAGTAGAAGTGGATCTTCATCAACAAGTGGCAGTAGCGGTAGCAGCTTCAACGAGCTTATGGCGTACCTTAGTGAAGGCTTAGTAGTCGGCAGTGCGGCAGAATCGTTTGACTTAGTTCAATGGTGGAGGGCACGGGCATTCACTTGGCCAATCCTAACTCGATTGGCAATGAATATATTTTCGATCCCAGTCTCCACTGTTTCATCCAAACAAGCCTTCAGTACGACAGGAAGAATACTTGAGGAACGCCGGAATGCATTGCAAAGGGATATTGTTGAAGCCTTGGTTTGCATTAAGGATTGGGATCGGGCCGATCAACGTCTACAAGATACAATTTCACCGGCAAGCCAAGAATGGATCGATGAATTTAATCGATTAACATTTAATTTTGAAGACGATCCCTCAGCTTCAAATTAAATTGTAAATTTGTAATTTGTAAATATGTATTTACTTTTTACATTGTATTTGTAATTTAATAAACAATGTAAGTTTGTACAATTTGTAATTCGTCACAAAATAATTACACTTTTTTTTCCTTGTCAAGTTTTTATCCCAATTGGATTTTTCTTGGTAAAGTTTTTAATGAGGTAATCATGAATTATAAACTTAAAAATTAATAAAGAAAGAATTTTTTTATATAGTTCGTGTAAATTGTAATATATATATAAATAACTTAATATTAAAAAAAAGTTTAAAAAATTCGGGCAATTCGGACGGGCTCGGGCCGCTGAATACAAGCCCGCGGCCCGTTCAAGGTGAAATTCGGGCTCGGGCGGGCGGCCCGGAAATCTCGGGCGGGTCGGGTTCGGGCTCGGGCAAATCCTCAGGCTTTTCGGGTGGTCGCGGGCGGCCCGTCCAAAGTTCCAGCACTTCGATCCATGATAAAAGGTATTTCTCATATGTTCAAAATTTCCATCTAAGTTTTGAAATTTGTGAAGTCCTAAAATATTTTTTAGGTTTAAAATGAATATCAAAGTTTCGTGAAAATTTTGATAGATATCAATAAAATTGCTTCTTTTTTTTTTTTACCACAGAATTTATGAGATACAAGGATAACCGGTAAATTTATCAGAAATTAAAAAATATTTGTAAATATCTGCACTCAATATGTTTTTGTTTTTGTTTTTTCATTTTTTCAATATTTTATTAGCTAAATAATAGATTTTTATCACCTAGTGCACTTGTACACTTTGTAAATTAGCTTTGAAAATTTCATATTTCTTGAATCCTGATGAAATCCTCGTCACTTTCTTTTATCCCAAATCATCTTTTATGTAAAACATGTTTATTTATGTATAATTTTTTATGATCATATCCTCAAATATGAAAATTAATATTATTATAAAATATACATAAAATCCATAAATTTTTTTTAATACTTTCACCGATATCAACATTTTTCTCAAAACATCAAGTCTGAAGTACCGATATTTTCTTCCTTGTTTCCATCACTCCCATCTATTATTTCATGAAAATGCCGAAGTGACTTCGTGTTAAGGCTAAATGGCTAATGAAGGGCTAAATGGTATAAAACCTAATTGGGGAAAATTTCAAAAAAAAAAAAAAAAAGAAAGAAAAGAAATTTGCTGTAAAATAAAAATCCTAAGGTTTCTACTTTCTTGAAGGCTATAAAATTCTATGATCAATGCATTATAGTAAAAATTCTATGTAATAAAAAATTTCGAACCGTATTTTAAATTCGCAAAATAAACAGGTGATAAGTTCACAAAGTTAGGCAACGCTAAAAATACTATATGATGGAGCACAGAGTATTTGGGTTGGGGATAGAGCTTGGTGGCACGATCTCTACTTAAAGGCATGTCAAATAAAGAATGGAGGCGAAACCCGGAAAGGGGTAGTTAAGAATTTCGTGCAACGGCCAAACATTTTTGTACGTGTATAGCGTTTGGTAGAGGAATTCGTTCCCTGATTCGAATCATAATTCGTGGTTCGCTACAATATTTTCTCTCATAAAAAATACACGTAAATCAAAAATGATTCGAATCACATGGTTTGAATCCTCCAACCAAACGAACCAGTCTTTGAGTGTTTTGATACATATATGTTAAATTTTTAAAAAAAAAGTATTTTAGAATACCGCAAGAAAAATTAATTAAGTAGAGGAATATTTGAGAAACATGATTTCAATAAACTATATTAGAGAAAAGTTATTTTAATTTGACACGTTTCATAATATAAAATATTTTAAAAATAAAATTTATAGACTGAAATGCATGTTTCAATCAAAATGTATGTTTTAGATAATATTGTATTTATAGAGGATCTATACATATTTTGTTTTCCTTTTTTTTTTTCAAAATCCTTTTATTTTATTTTATTTTTATTTTTACCACAAAATTTACTTATTTCTTTATTTTGGTCATTTTAACCTTTTTTTTATATAATTTTACACTGAAATTTTCCCCTCTTTTCCTTCTTTTGTTTTGTTTTTTTTTTTTTCCTTTTGTCTTAAAACTTATTTATTTCCTCATTGGTACTTTTTTTGGCCTTTTTTTGGCTGTTTTTATCGAAACCATAGACCTCCTCCATCTTTTGTTGTTTTAGTCCAGTATTTTTTTTTTTTTTGCTTTTTTACTTTAAAATTTATTTATGTCTTCATTTTGGTTTTTTTGTGACTCTTTTTTTTTATTTTTTCCTTGATTTTTTTTGTTTTGGTTTTTTTTCCCTTAAAACTTATTTATTATTCGTTTTTCTCTTTTTTGGCTTTTTTTTTTAATTTCATCTCATTTTGATTGAAACCGGTACACCTTCACTTTTTTTTCCTCTAAAAATTATTTATTTCTTCATTTAGTCATTTTTTGACCATTTTCTTTATTTTTGTCATGAACTTTATTATTTCGTTTTAGTTTCTTTTGCCCTAAAACTTTTTATTTCCTCTTTTTGGTGCTATTTTAGACCTTTTTTTTATTCTTGCCCTAAAACTTCATTTTTCTCTCATTTTGGTTCCTTTTTAAGATTTTATATTTAGATTTTACCCCTATTTAATTATTTTTCTGTATAATTCTTGTTATTTTTACTAACTAATTAAGATCTTTATTATTAAATAAATTTAAAAATAACATAGTACATAGAGTTCAACTAGTATATAAGAAGGGAAAATGTGTAAATAAGTAGTGGCCTCTTTGAAAAAATTATTTTAAAGGGGAAATTATAAGAGAAAGTATAACAAGATTGAAATGGTGGAAACATATTTGAAAAGGTACTTTTGGTAGGTACAAAGTAGAAGAAACAAGCATTGTAAAAAAAAAAAAACATATTTTAAAATATTTTATTTTAAAAGCAAAAGTTATACAAAAAGTGCACAAATGGAAACTCATTTACTATATAGTAATAGATTATTTAAAATTTAGATGCTAGTATTAATTAATTTGTGGGCTTGAACTTTGTTTACCTTAAAAACGTATTCTATTGTAGGGAACTCGAGGAATATTTATGCGATTTGAATACTTTTCTGAAATTTTATTTTGGTGTTAATTTTTGAAAATTATGTTTTGGCTTTAAAATTTATAGATTTTTTTTTTTTTTGGCAAAAGGGCCATAAATGATATTTTTGCCTTTTTTCTTTTTTTGACTGAATCTGATTATCTTGAGAATATAATTGGGAACTTTTCTTTAGAGTCCAAGTAGCTGATGGAAACTGAATGTCGTTGTTATTGTTTAATGAGATATATGACTTAATTATGTTTGTATAATTAAAATATGGTTGTGTTTTGAATAAATTAATTCATTAGAGTGGATCTTCATATTCCTAACATCCTAATGAATTTCATTATCTCCACTTTTATTACCATTAATATTTGGTATTTCATAACCTTTATAATCTCCCAATTAACACTCTATTAGTAGTATTTTATTATTATAACTTATGGCTTTTAGCCTCTCCTACTTTATAATTCTTGACCTATATAGATGGTCTGTGAGAGCTTGTATTTGTACATAAGAAGATGATGAATAGTAAGAAAGTTTTCTCTCTCACTAACTATTATGATTATTTATAAAAGTTTATCTATTATGGTTATTTATATTAAATTTCAGAAACCGTTCATTAAATTCAGTGCTATGAACGAAAACAATTGAAAAACAAAAGTACAGGAGTAATTTACCAAAGTTAAAATTTTATGGGTCAAATTGTCATAATTTACTAGTACAGGGACTAATTAGGCACATAATCATATTAACTATTGGTCATTTCCAGCTGAGGGTCTCCCTCATCAATATGAACATTTGTTTAGGTAAAAAATAATATATAAAAATTTGGATGTACATCCTCTGTCTAATAAATATCAACTAAGAATAAATAAGTACCGATTTTTCTTCGACTTGGAAGGAAAAACATAAGAAATTTCATTGGTTTTGGCACCATAAAATATGGCAACCTTGACGATTACCATATTTTTAGTCACAATTATGCATAATCACCTTCCCAATATTGTACATACGTAGCTTCACAATGCAGCTTTATTTAACAGTTTTAGCTCTATAAGTTTTCACTGAAGCCTGCTTTCAAGTTTCATGGGAAGAAATTTCTTCCCAGTAATCCCATCAACATTTTCATTTCCATAAAGAAAATGTTCCGGCTTTCGTGTATAAATTTGGCCTAGACTAAGTGGAAGAAAGAAACCCGAGTTAAACTGTAATGCTGAAATTTTGTGTTACGAGTGCAGAAAGTTTTGGTGCAGTTTCATATTTTTATAACTTAAAGCCTTCATAAAACTACGGAAATTTAATCCATACCTAAAAGTTACATAGAGAGTACTTTGGAAATTAAGAAACAACATATGGCAAATTATAAAACGAGGACAGAACCTAAACTAATGGTACTGAAAACTTGAACAGCCATTAGGAACCTTCTCATACACACAACTTAAACGGAAGGATGCAAAGACCTCCGAACCGCTGCTGCAAGTAAATGATTATGGCAAAAAGAAGACTTCCGCAAGGAATTATCACATCCCAAGCGATTGAAACCAACTTGAACGACGAGTTCTGAGCCCGGTAAAGACCATATGCATGAGGCAACAATCGAACAAGAGTTGTTCCAATGTAGAAGTAAGAGGATAGAGCCTTCTCTCTAGAATCCCTGAATGTGTTGAGAAGGATTTGGGGCAAAAGAAAGGCGTCCAAGAGTAGATCAGCATAAGATTTTAAGAAATCCCAAATGGGGTTCTCCTTGTAACTTGTGAAAGAGGCTGAGGAAAGCATGACAAGATCATGTTTTCTTTTTCTCCAAGTGAAGAAAATACTTAAAAAGGCGCATCCAGCGTACAATGGTGAGGACACCAAAAGAGCCTCATTCTCAGCAATTTGAAGCCCATTTCGGTTTTCATTGGATGATCTCGCCGACCATGTGAGCTGTAGGAGACAACATTGCAACAAGAACAGAATCAATGCTGTTGCCCCTTCAGTTACTCCTTTGGCTTCAAGCCATCCGCCACTTCCAAGCAACACATTTTGGCTTTCGAAACTTGTCATGAGCATGGATTTCAAGTCCATCAAAAGTGGTATTGCGTAGCCCAAAGTTAGAGTGGATATCATGGTAAGGGAAACAAAGGGAAGAACATCACGATACCTTCTGAAATGAAAGAGTTGCAACGCTGCAAAAACACAAGCAAGTGAGTTGGAGATCATAGCCATAATAATCTCCACATCAGTCCTTAAAATGGACTCGTGTGCTTCGACGATGACAGAAGCAGCCGAGGACAAGTCCAAATGTTCGAAGTGAAGAGGGTCGGACTTTTCTCGCTTGCTTTCTATGATTCCCTTGATATAGCCTTCACCCTCATGAAAAATCTTTGGAGGGAATTGGAATTTGACAAGGATCTCGCAGTCCACGTTTCTATCAATCATATGGTTTAAGACAACATGTCTACATCCTACCATGCACAAGCTTCCTGTTGTGACATCATAGACGCCTTCAGCAGAGATATGCCATGTCTCATTTGATTCCCCTGATCTGTTGTATAGGCCTATTCCATAGCTAATATTGGTTGGGTATACATATTCTTCATCTGCAAGAGTTGAGTTTGAGAAGTGGTTTTGATACCGACGCCTGCCGTAGAACTGACTTCCAACAGAGAGGGGTTCGGCATACCCTCTTGCGATTCTTCTTGTAGCCCTTTTAGCAAATATGTCAAACATCATATCATACGAAAGTGCGCTCGGGTATATTTCTCCCTTCTTCTTAGCAAGCGCTTTTCTGGGGCACCACTTTCTTACCTTCTCAATCTTTGTGTACTCGTACTTCAAGCCCGGAGCCCCTACCAAAATGCTAGCAGGACTTTCGAACCTGATCTTCTCAAAGTAACCCGAATCTGAGACAGGTTTGTTGCTCCAAACATGTCCCACAATGCTACTAGTGTTGCCAATTGTCCAAATTGCAGGGAATTGAAGGCTTAACCTTGTAGAACAATCTCCCACATAAGCCTTAGCCCAAGAATCTGTCACGTTCAGAAATCGGCAAGCCACAATGAGTAACTGATTCTTCTTTGCGTCCCAAGTCCCTTCCCCAACCAATGTTGTATTGGGATCAAACGTTCTGTAGTTCCCGATATCAGCAAACTGACGGGAAAGCTTTATCAAAAGTCGCAGCCTCAGTTTAGTTTCCGCACATTCAATTTCATCGAGCGAAAGAACACTAGGAAGCTGGATCAGAGACTCCCCTAATGGATTACACTTCTTTTCAGAACTATTGCTGCAATGGCTTGCATATTTCAGGCTCAAAGTCCTAGAGGATAACAGTGAACATAATGACCTTGGCAAAGAATTATATGACAAACCAGGGGTTGAAACATCACCTTCAATACTAGAACTAGAAGTACTATTATCAAATTCATGTGAAATCAATGTGTACTCGTAGTTCAAACGGGGAAACAACACGACAGAGATGGGACTAAAGTAGTTCGGATCATTATGATCGGAACTTATCAAGCTTTCCACTGTTCCAGTAACCACGCTAGTGAGATCAGAAGAGTTCTTGAGATTATGGAGCTTAAGAAAAGCAGGAAAAGTCAGTGACTCACCTCTTGGATAATAATAACCCTCTCCAACCATGCAGAGCTTTCCAGAAGATAGTGACCAAAACCCATGTAGCCTGAACCTCATAGAACCTCTTGTATAAGAATTCGCGTGCTCAAGATAAACGGGATTCGAATGGTAAGACCGATTAAGCGTGACATTACTCCCAGAGTAAATATTACTGCCTCTATAAAGTATCAAATTTCCTTTAACACTGAACAAGCCTTGGACATCAGTTTCATAGACCCTCCATAAGCTGAAAGCAAGAGAATTTGTGACCTCATAAAACAAACTTGTGTCTGCAATATTGGGGTCACTGGTGGTGTAGTAGCCCGTATGTCGTGGGAAATGTATTGGAGAGGCATAGCCAATAACCGTCCAGTTTGTTCCGGGAACAAACGAAGCACAGTGATCGGAATATGAGATTGTAGATGAAGGACTAGCTGGAAAACATGGAACAAAGTTTGAGGAAAAGGAAGTGTAGAAAGTGAAAATGATGAGAAGAAGCCACGGGTGAATATTGATGTAGTACCACCTCTTTGAAGAAGAGGTGGAAGCAGAGTAGTTCTTGAAGATAGCCATCAAAATGGTTGCAGTGATTCTCACTGGTATGGGAAAAGAAGATGAAGAAGAGTTATAGTTCAAGAGGTAGACTTGGTCATAAGTATTCTAATGTGGAAATAGTCCAAAAGCGTGTGATATTCCTAGTGAAAATTGTCAATTTCACAAAGAAAAAAAAATGATATCCATAATTGTGGTGATTATCACCACTACTAATAAAATGTATCTCATGACTCATATATTGAATCTATATAGATGTCTTTTAGTGATTATCATCTCAACTGAAATCAACAACAATATCTACAAAGTATTGTATAGAATATGCTTTAGTAGGCACCGTTTTTACTTTTTTTTTTTTTCTTTTGGATCAAGAACTTATTCATTTGTAGTAATAATATATAGAGCGCAAGGGATAAAAGCATAGCGTAGAAATGATGTTGTATAAAAAAAAAAAAAAAAAAAATGGCGTTTGTTTCTACTAAAATTTCTTCTCTTTTTTCTTTCCCTCTACTCGTCCTCAAAATTTGTCTTTTGCTAACTCAAATTGTTGAAAGAGTCATTCGTGTGATTGATGGTTGGTGTGCATTATTTTTTATTTTCTATTGTTGGAACTTAGTGTATATTTGATCTCTTATGTGTTTTATTAGAATTTATTAGTAGAATCGATTTGTAGTTGAGATTAAGCTTCATTGTATTACGAGGTCATTTATATCATTATTACTGCGACATATTTTCTTAATTTTGGATTGCAATTTTACTTTTTCAAAAAAAGAAAGATGAAGTTCCAGTTTGCTTGGTTTTCCTCATTTAAAATAGACCGATTGACTTAGAAAAATGGGTACAACCCTCGTCAATTCCGTCAGCAACACGATGGACAAAGGAAAACAACACAATGACACTAATTGGAAGATGTCTTCTTATAGAACAATAAGGAAGATGGCTAGGTCCAAGTCAACAAAAAGGCTCTTGGAAAAACCGAAATGGTGAGAGGAAATTGGGTTAAAGCTGCTGTCAATGACGGAGCTGGGGAGCGGCAGGGGTGGCCATACCCCAAAACCCCCTATAATGGTTTTAATTTTACTGTAGTAGGATATGTGTATAAATTAAATTTGATCCCCTTTAAATTAATAGTTCTCTATATGTTATTGTACCAACTATTTAGATTTTAAAAAAATAAAAGGGTTATATACATAAATGTAACTAAGTTATTTTAGTTGGATTTTATACTTAATTTGTAAAACAGAAACTATAATTTTCTATTAAAAAATTAAGTTGGCATAATGACATAGGTGTGTATAGTTTACTAGATTTATATAGTGCAGTTTATTTAAAGTCTTAAAATTTATTTTCAGTTCTGAATTTTTATTATTCATTAGGAAGCTAACAATTGATGCATTTTTTTAAAAGAAAAATATTCAAGATCAAACAATTTGGAGAAGATGGTCAATCTATTCCAAAATTTGAAAATTTAGTTTCCAAGCATCCCAAAAAGGTTCAAAGAATTGAAATTGAAAAAATTAATATTGTCACTTTTTATATAATTGACAGTGATATATTTTCCTACTTATATACAATATTAATAATATTTTCATGTATTAATATGTCATAAATTAATTTACTAAACAAAAACTGTTATATATATATATATATATATATTAGTATAATCTTGATTAAAAAAAATTAACCCCCCTTATTGATAAATCATGGCTCTGTTATTGGCCGATGTGGACTCTCTATACAGTTTTCCTTCAAAAAAATGTTAACGTCACTATCTACATTCAGTGTTTGATATGTAGACTCCATTATCTTATTTTTTATTTAAATAATAATATATTATGTTAGTAAAGTCCACGTGTCAAATAATAAATGCAAATAATAACAAAAAGTGACAAAAGTTTTCCCTACCTTTTGGTCACAGATATAAAGAAGGTGAGCAAAAAATTATGTAACATCATACGTGAATAAAAAGGTATGTCCTAAAAAAATATACAGAACAAGTAGTATTTTAAAAATAAGGATTCATTTCAATCCTTAAAAAACTGATAATTAAAATTTTCAATTCAATAATGTGTAGAAAATGGCTTTCTCAATTAAGTCGTAGAGACTGATGCAGTGAATGTGGTGCACGCTGTTAGTAAGCGAAAGCTGCGATCATCCGACTCAAATGTGATTGATGATATCCTTCATCAAATTTCTCTAGCTTCTTCTTGTGATTCTGTTAGTTATATTTCTTGTTTCAGGAATTTTGTAGCCCATATACTAGCTGCTTTTGTTTCTCTAGTGCTTCAAATGTTTGTTGGATTTGATTCCTATCCTAGATTCATAAGCAGTTTGTAATGACTGATTTGGCAATTCTTGAATCTCGGATCCAAAACAGTTGCAATAGCCATCACTCCGTGATTTCATTCCAATACTTCTCAAATTTATCCATCATTGCACTTGCCATGTCCTTGAGGTAAGGATCATTTGAAGCCAACCAATTCCAAATTGACATTTTTATCTCACAGATCTTCAGAATAAAAAATTAAAAAAAAAAAGATTAGTTGTGGGGTACTTTATCCCTGAAAACAGCTCAGTCACTTGATAAAACAAGTGCAACTTCTCACATAAATCTGCTGCCAAGGTTCAATCATCCTCTTAAGGCACCGACTTGTATTGAGAATTGTGTTGTTCAATCTTTGTATATAATGCAACACTAAGCATCGTGTGGGTTGAATTCCATCTAGTCGGACAATCGAGGGCAATCTTCTTTGTACTATGTATCTTCAATTGACGAGCAACCCCCTCAAATGTTTCCATTCTTTTTGGTGTCCCAGACCAGTAAGAAACGCTTTCACAAATTTTCTCAGTGCAACCTCTAAACCATCCTTCACAATGAGATTCAAAATATGCACACAACACATATGAAATAACTTCCCATCCAAAAGTAGCAAACCACCAGACAACTTCTCCTTTACAAGCGGAATCATAGCATCATTTGTCGTACAATTATCTACTGTCAATGTAGACAATTTGTGGTCTACATTCCAGTCCATCAAACAATCAATCAATGCATTAGTTAATGTCGGAGCATCATGTGGAGATGGAAGATGTTGAAAACTCAAAATCTGGGATCTTAAAACTCAAGATTCATCAATAAAGTGTCCTGTCACAGTCATGTACCCTCTCTTCTGGTTGTTAGCTGTCCACATATCAGTTGTAACAGCAATTTTACTTGAGTTTTTCTCCATTAGCTGCATTGCATTCTCTTTCTTTTCCTTATATATCTTAAACATATCGCTTCTAATGGTGTTTCTCAACATCATCATAACATGGGGCATGCAACGCTCATCATTTCAATGAAAGCAACATGCTCCACGATACTCAAAGGATATTCATGCAAAATAATCATATGGCTATTTTCTCTCTAAGCAACTCCGGATCAAAATTGTATCCACCGATTGAAGGAGTCCCACCACTTCTCTTTTGTCTTTTATTTGTGTCTCCTTTCAACTTAGGACATCTACTCAAATGTTTATGCAAATGGCTTGTACCATTTTTACTTTCTCCTCCCAATATCCTCACACAATGCTTACAAATTGCTCTCTCTTTCCCATTAATCTTTTCTATATCATAATGATCCCATACAACAGATTGCAAGTTCTTTTTCTTCCTTCCTAAACTATATCTTCCTCTACGACTTGATAAGTACTCTCAGCCCCATGATTAGAAGCACTCGGCATAAATTCCACTTCCTCATTAATACTTGATGACTCCATTAATTCTACAAAATAATAAAAGCAAATTTAGACTAAGAATAAATTACTCTCTTGTTCTCGAGGAAAATACTATAGAGCTGCATGCAGAGCTCATTGTAACCAAACGCATATGACAACTATACCACCCACCAAGTAATCAAACAATTGAAAGAAAATGTAGATTTGCAGCTAGAGTAGTCATCGATAATATAGAGAATGAATAAATATATTGAGATGTATCAAGAATTTAGAGTTGCACAACAGGAGAATCCTTTAATTTAATTAACATATGAACATCCTTACAAATAAAAGCCTAAATTCTTTCGCAAATCAGTACTTACAAGAACAGAAAAGAACATCCTTAAAAATAATTAGATCATCAATCATACATACTTACAAGAACAGAAAAGAAGACTCAAAAAAATTGAAACGAAGGCCTAATGAACCTCTAAAGCATTACATGAGCACATATATTTTGAGATTGATTGGATTTTAGAATAGGAAATCCTAAAGATCACACAGAGTGGAAACAAATTCCTTCATCAAGTAGTATAACACTCCTGAATCAAACTATTGCAGCGTAAAATGGCAAGGAGAAATCAACCACCTTCAGAACACCAAACTGGAAATCTAAAAAAAGAAAGAAAAAAATTACTAGCAGCAATACACGAGAAAAAAACATTAAAAAGGATTTAGAGCTTACAAAAATTTACATAAACTGATTCAAAAATTTGGTCAATATCCTTTTCTTGAAATCAAGCAACAAACTTAAAAGAGCACCCAAAGAAGAACTCGAATCCAAAATGAATTTCAGAGAGAGAAAAAGAGAGTTCAACTTAATACCTGAATATACGGAACGGATTACGAACGACGATCGGCGGAAGCGACGGTGAACGCCGGAATGCCGTGACGGCGGAGGACGACTGTGGACGCCGGGGGGAGAGAGAGAGGCGGGCTAGGGTTTGACGATGGACGGAAATGAAATCTTAATCGAGTAATCAAGGATTTCTCTCTTTTTTTTTTTTAAATATAAATAGTCATTTTTTACGTAAATTTAGAATCATAATTCAGAATTATTCTAAACTATAATAAATTAAAAATTATAATTTAAATTATATCACGAATACATCAATTAAACGCAATATAAATAATACAAATTCAGAACAATCCGCCTTGCCCAACTTATTAAACGGAGCATGACCCGCCCCAAACCATGCCTTAATTGGTTGCGGGGCGACCCCATTCCTCTCGAATGGGGCGGGTTGGGGTGGTGCTCCATTTACATCCTTACTAGTGTGGGTAGCTTTTAGGGTATTTTTTTTTTTTTTAAATATAAATAGTCATTTTTTACGTAAATTTAGAATCATAATTCAGAATTATTCTAAATTATAATAAATTAAAAATTATAATTTAAATTATATCACGAATACATCAATTAAACGTAATATAAATAATACAAATTCAGAACAATCCGCCTTGCCCAACTTATTAAACGGAGCATGACCCGCCCCAAACCATGCCCTAATTGGTTGCAGGGCGACCCCATTCCTCTCGAATGGGGCGGGTTGGGGTGGTGCTCCATTTACATCCTTACTAGTGTGGGTAGCTTTTAGGGTATTTTTTCTTTTTTTTTGTCTTTTTATTTTTCCTTGGAGGGCAGCTTCTTTTTTTTTTTTTGTTGTTGTTAGAGGAGAGTAGCTTTTACTTTTAAGCTGTTTAAATAATACATGAAAGATTTTTTTTTTCATACATAAGAGCTTTTAAACTTATTTTTTAGTGAAATAAATCAAAAATTCTTATTGTGAAAAAGCATACATAGATGGAACTTTTAATTTGTTATTATAAATAAGAGGTTAAAATGTAAATAAAAAATGTTTCATTTTAACTTTTCTTATGGCTTGTTTAATTCACGTGTTTAAATCAGTAATTTTGATTTTAAATTTAAATTTTGTGAGAGAACTCATTGGCACAAATTTTTTTTTATTTAAATTTTTTTAATAAAAGAGCATAATTAAAATAATGAGTTTAAGTCATAAAACTAAATAGACTCTTAGAGTACGTTTGGTTTATGAATTTAGAATTATAATTCAGAATTATTCTCGATTTACGTGTATTTTTTATGAAAAAAAAATATTATAACAAGCTACGAATTATGATCCGAACCATAACACAAATTTTTACTCTAAACGTACTTTTAAATTCTTTCTCCAAAAGTCTCGAGGACGTTTTGCTAGAAGCCTAGAACAAGTCCCAAGAAATATGTTTGTTCCAAGCCCGTTTCAAAAGCCTATAAATAAGAAGTCAATCCAAACAGGGCCGAACCTCGAAACAAGTTACTTATAAGCCAAATTTCATGGGTCAACTACATTCAGCTACCTAACCGTTGCACTATTCTGTTGTGTGTGCGCATCATTTTTATTTTTCATACATATTTACTGCTATTTTTTGCCATACCCCTGTCCCTAAGCTGTCATGCCCCCCCTTTGCAGTTGGGACCATGCATCGCGTACTCATCACGTCAGATGCTTAGGGAACTTAAAATGATATATATTCCGATGAGTTAAAACTCCATACTCTTAAAATAATGAGTCCCACTAAATTGAGTCTCACATATCCTTCTAACAAAACTCACTTTATGTGAGGAGCGCGATTTTAATCAATTGGGATGAATGATTGCTCTCAAAAAATAAGAACCTAGTCGATATTTTAAATTGAACAAGAATTGAGCTAGCAAAAAAAACTTCAACCACAATTCAAAACACTTATATATACATATATATATATATATATATATATTTTTTTTATAAGACAATTCAACACTACTATTAGCTTTTCATTATTGCAGTAAATATACCACTATTACCAATAATTTAGCTCTACAAGTGTTCACTGAGTACAGTTTCATGAACAGCGCCTTAGACCCTGTAATCCCCATCCATATTTTCATTTATGTACAATATCCCAAAATGCATGTCTGAAAAGAGAGGGATATACACAAAATATCCTCTATAAATTAGGTCTAGACTATTTGAATCGAAGAACGAAGCCTAAGTTTAAAATGTTTATGTCAAACTAATGGAACTCCTCATCATGATTTGGTGGAAGCATTCATGGAGCAACCCGAGACATGCTACCCATTTTCTTGTTCACATTTACGGTTGGTGAAAGAAATTTCTCACAGTCCTCAACTCCAATTTTAGAAAATTCCTTGACAAGCATATTCACGTGCCCGGCCAAAGAGTCTTTGAACTGCTTTGAGCAGCTCTTGTCACCCTCATCGACATCCTGAACACCACCTTTAACCAGACATCCAACCTGAGCACCATCCATGTATGCTTGACAAGCAACCAGAATATCATGAGCGCGGTTGCAGAAATGTCCCCTTACGAGATCCTCAAAATGCTGAAACAAAACACGATTTAAGTCTCAATAATTAGAACAATACAAGTATCATGCATATTTGTAAATGTAACCTGCACACAAAAAGTAAAGTTTCCCTAGGCATGGTATATGCAAAAATAAATAGGCCAAAAGAAATTGATCCCCCATCTTTTCATTGACAAATGTGAAAATGGAAAGTAAAATATGACAAAGTTTACCCTTGGAGGTCTCTTCATCGAGTACATCATCGTTTGCAAAGACAGGATAAATGTGCTCTCATTGTACTGCAGTGACCTCTTCTCACCAGCTAACGACCCACTCGTTGGTGCATGTCCAGGCTCATTAAAATAGGGTTTGGTATTCAAAATCAGCCCTTGTATGGAGACCAAAACTTGCAACATGGTTGATGTACCTGGGATCCACTTCTCATTCTTATCACCAGACCAGGTATTGAGAAGACTGAGGCATACTTTCCCAGAATTATACAAATTTGGATTTAGTCGAAGGCCACCAGAGTGATAATGGACATGCTGGAATAAGCAAACTCCCATTAGTCTAATGATGTAAAGAGATACAAAAACTGCGCCTCAAACTCAAGGATCGATAAATACCGGTGGTACATTGGGATAGCTGCTGGGGAAGAAGACATCAAAGAAGAACAAACCGTCATGGTATGGAGTCCCCTCTGCTCCAACTATGACAGCTCTCAAAAGATCCATTCTTGACTCATAAACCCTAACAAATATAGTATCTGTCGACACATAAAAGGTGGACAGGAAGATAAACAAAAGAAAATTAATCTCTTTCAAAACCTGGATAGAAAGGGGCGAAAAAAAAGGAAAAAGAAGAAAAAGAGATATAGAAGTGAGGGGGTGCAGATGAATAGCTAAGGCCTTGTTCATTTCACCGATTTGAGTTTTCAATTTTAGGTTTCTACAATTAAAAGTTCTCAAAAAATGTCACATCTAACTTTTTCTACTACAATTAAAAGCTCTCAGAAAATGTCATATTTCAGCTCGAATTGAAAACTCAAATCTGCGAAGCAAACGAGACCTAAAGCTTTATGATAACCATTCTGCCGATACATTGTTCACATATCAACCCTAAATTCCCTTATAAAACAATCATGAAGAATCCCCCAAATAGATATTTTCAAATAACAAAGACCAAATGAAAAAGATAATCATGCAACAAGAAAAATCCCCTAGCCACTGCATACGACAGAAACATGGAACAAGGACTGACCAGGCAAATCCTTCTCCAGAATTTTCCACTCCTCCTGGATTCGCTTTGCCCAATTCTTTGATGACTGTCAGAAAGAAAGAAAGAAAAAAAAATCATAGAAGGTTTAGATTGGAGATTAAATAATAAATAAACGCACGAAATGCACCATCTAAACTCACATGCTTCAATGAAGAACCATTGCTAGTCGATGAAGAACCATTTCTAGTATAGTGATGGTCGGAATGATCATCAACAGTATCAAATTGTTTGAAAAGCTGGAATTTCCTCATAATTTCACCTCTATCCATGCTAGGAGTAGGTGCTTCTTCAACACTGTCTGTTGAAACACCTATGGCAACATCATTCTTCAAATTATGGTTAAAATTTCCAACCCGTGGGTAGATACCTTGAGGATGATATGCCGAACCCAATGGAGGACAAAAACTTGAATAATCAGTATGAATAAAGAAAGGTGACTTAAAATTAGGATTGAAAGGTGCCTGTGACCAAGGGAGAGATGATCCCACTTCAGTAGGAAGCTTTGACATCTCTGCATACGCAGGAAAGCTTGAACTGTGAAAAGCATCTGTACCAACTTGTTTCTTTATGTTGTGAGGAATATGAGGATCCCAAAAAGATGGCTCAACTCGAGAAGGGAGCTTCATCACTTCTAACTGATTTACAGAATCATGATTAGTTGAACTACTCAAATTAAGTTGCTTCTTTCTATACTGAAAAGGTCTTCGCCACCGAGATCTAGATGCTATGCCAAGTGGGACATTGGGAACAGCCCCTCTATGTTGCAAAGCATTTGGCTTCTTTTTACTTTGGGAAGACTGCGATGGGAACCAAGGTGGTGATAGTTCCACTTCAATGGTAGGCTGACTCGTAGAGTCCATTTGGGTCGGCAAGTTTGAACTATTCCCAGAGGTTGGGTTCATGCTAAAATGAGAAGGCTCTGATAACCAAGAAGACGAAGATGAATCGTTGCCATTGAGACCAACAGTACCTGATTGTATCGGAAACGGCATTTGAACAAAACTACCTCCGGTAACAGGTTTCTTTTTACTTTTCGGCCGATCCAACATAAAAGGGATGGGTGCTTCTATTCCAGGAGGAATATCCACATTATCAAAGTGAGCTTGCAACATGGCATACTCATCAACATCCATAAAATCTTCAGAAAACAGATCTGTGTCGTCATTGTCATCATCACAAGATGCATCTGAGCTCTGATCCTCTAGGTTGATTACATTTTGCGATGGTGGGACAAAAGTCTTAGAAGCCTCAACCCCATTTAGCGATCCAAATGCTTCCACACCAGCGAGTCCAAAAGGATTGACCATAGCTTCCTGAAATGATAAAAGTAACATAAATTAAACATAGTGAGGATTGTTTCAGCTAAACTGGGCATCTATTGCCTAATGAAAAGATACAAATGAGTAGGTTTTCATTTAAGTTAATCACCAACCTCAACTGAATGATCATTGTATTCATCAGCAATAAATTTTATTGCCTTTCCTTTAACATTTTTCTCATCTACCTCGCCAAATAGCATGAGGTCAACACTATCTTCCTCTTGATCAAGTTCAATTAGATCATGCCGCATAACCTAGGAAAAAATGAAGACAAGTTAAGCTTACACTGATTGACAACACATGAATCTTCTAACCAGATGTTCAAAAACTTTGAGGAGGAAAATACAACACCAACAATATCAGAAGATGAAACGGTACAATCATGAGTTATTTTTCCAGTAATACTCATTTTGAAAGGAACTAAAATTATTAGAATGCATCTATCAATTGTGTTTTTCCTAAAATTCTTAGTTTGATTGATTTTTATTTTCTTAATTTTTTATTTTTTTAATAAGAAACGCCTTTATTGATGAAAAATAATTACAGGTACAATAGGATAAGGTGTCTTCAAATCCAGAACAAAATAAAATAATCTTCCTATTACATCTTTCCAATTTAATTTATTGTGAATGGAGTAGAACCAATATAGCCTATCACATCTTTCTAATTTAATTTATTGTGAATGCAATAGAACCAATATAGCCTATCACCGGCCAAGAACTCGCACTTTCCCCTATGGAATAGAGAAACTCTAGCATATAAAAGCACTTGACGAACTGGAGATTTTCCAAGTAAAGAATGTTTCATTGCAGATGACAGACAATTAGATGTTCCAGAAGGAAAAAAAGAAAAAAAGAAACACATCATATGTGTATTAAAATGTACTTATTATCCATTGGAAACCCAAGTTCTATGCCCAAATATTCACCAGCTCCACAATACTAAGACAATAGACATCAGCAACGGACATAACTAAGAGATTTCTTGCGCACCGTCAGGAAATAAGGATCAGCATAACTTGTCCCAAAAGGTTTTAAAAGCTAGAGAACTAGCTAATAATGCAAAACAGGATAGAACGCATTTCAATCCTTTCCAATGTGACCTACATTATTTATTCTACCACGTTGATTGATTAGCATATGGGCCAAGGCTAAATATTCTGAACAAAATAGAACTGTGGAAGGAAATAACGAGGAAGATAGGTCAATGATCATGTCATAAACATAATCCATTCACAATAATCGAGCGACACAAAACCAAATTTCTAACTTTTTTTGTTTAATGGAGAGAGAAAACAAAGAGGCTAGAATATCCCGACTAGATTGGCAACCCGCTAGCAACTATATCCCATATCAGGATGTTCACTCAACTATTGTACTATTGTGAAAGAAATAAAAACAAAGTAATACGATGAGTATCGTAAAGGGAAAAGCAAAACAGTTCTGAAGACAGAGAAACAGAAGCAACCAGATGAAACAACCTAAGCAAAGAACAATTCACAAAGAAAAAAGAAAAAACCCCGCGCCTCTTTTTTCTTTCAAAAAGAAAAAATAAATAAACCAATGAGGAAAAACTCTAGAAAGGAAAAAGAGTACATTAACCCTTTTACACTATGGACAAAAGGATAATTAGACATCCTGACAATATCCTTGGCGGAATTCGTTAGCATAAAAATGCAGAATAAAGTCTCAAAAACATCCCCTTTTCTAATACCCTCTAAAATGTATCACAAACATGAAATTTCCCATAACCAGAATGAATCAGAAACCTAATAATAGACAAACTAAAATTCGATATACCGCCAGATATGTGTGCGCTTGTAGCAAAAGTAGGCAATTCAAGCATCAGCCTATGTAAAACAAACAATATTTACTTAACAACATTCCCAATCAGAGAATCCCGACTTTACCAAAATCTGATTAATGTGAATTCAATTCCAACCTACAAGCGACATGAATGTGACCCAGGAAAACATCAATCAAAACAATCAGCTTTAAATAAGTAGACAAAAAAAAATGAAAAATTCGCTTAAAAGACTAATTTCAGTTCATTTCAGCGATCGAGCCTGATAAAAGATTCAATCTTTGAGAGAAATGGGAAATTGAACAAATTAATCGAGAAATTAAAGGGGCAGAAAAAAAAAAAAAGGATCGCCGAGTTAACCTCTTTGTGTTTGAGCATTCTCGGCGGCCGGGGTACCGGAGGCGGGATTTCGACGACGTCGGGATCCATGGACGCGGAATTGCCGCTACCTGGGAAAAATCGCAACCTGTTTGGAGAGCGAGAAAGTGAGGGAAAGTCAAGACGATACGATGGATGGAGAGAGCAAACGAGGTATTTTTAAAAGGGGGTGAGTGAAGAGAGAAAAGAAAGAGAAATAGAGTTAAAGCAATAAATAATAATAATAATATTAATATTAAATAAATGGAGAGAAAGACTCGGCTTTCTTAGAGACGCACGCACCCGGGCATCGGCGGCGGCTTTATCAGTCAGGCTTGAGCAGATCTATTCAAAGAAATTAAAAAACGAATAATTCCCTAAACTATTTATAACCCTAGTAACAATATTTATTTTCCAAACATAATATATTTATTCCCTCGTCTATGAAATATTAACGGAAAAAGGATTTTTAACAGAATAAAGAATGAGGATCGTTGCTTCATTTCATGGAGAGAATTACTTTGTTAGCTCCTCTTGGTGCAGTCACATGAAATTGAAATGAGAGATTTTTATTTTTAAATATTTTGAGTTTATTTTTTCACTTACAAATTTTAAATTACATCAAATTTTAATTCAATTTAAATTATTTTTAGACATAGATAAAGTTATCAAAACTCATATAATATTGTACCGTATGTCAATTATGTGTTATTTTTCATTAGAAAACCTCAATATATATTTTTTTGTTAATAATTTATATGTTTGGGGAATTAATATTACACTTTAAAAATTAGAAGTAGAGAGGGATATAGTCGAGGAAACTTTTATAATTAATTCTACAAAAAAAGGAAAGGGAAAATCTTAAAACCTTAAGGTTTTGTTAAATCCACGTTTGCTTTATAATGTTGATAATTTAAAAAATATTTTCTAAGTTTTAAATTATCTCAAAATTTGAGGCTTTATGTTGTTGATATTCCAAAAAGTACCTTCTAAATTTTAAAATTTATCCCAAAATTATTCCACAAATTTTATAAAATGGTTAAAATATAACCCATGAACTAATCAGATTGTTGAAAATAACATAAATATCCTTAATAGTCAATATTTAAACAATATCTTTATATTAATAAATCAAAAGACTAAACTCAGGAAAAAGAATTAAAAATTTTAAGAACATAAATTCAGATTTTTAAAAAAAAATCTAACACTTATCAGAATAGATTGATCTAATCATATGAATATCATACTCATCTCTTTTGAATACAACTTGTCGAATTTGAAATTATCAGACTGGTTCTACCTCACATTGGATCTCGAGCTGCCATCTTTCAAACACACTAGTACTTCAACACACTAGATCCCGACTTATCGACATCCATTTTCTCACACCACACCATCCGGTCTATTTTCACCCTCCTTTTTGGCCTTTGGCGTTTTAGCTCATACACAGCCTCGTTAACTTCGCTGATTCGAGTTTAGAATTCGAGTTGATATGTGATTTTATGTGAGAGCTTTTTACTGTAGCAAAAAAGTTAGATGTAATTGTTTGTGAGAGCTTTTTACTGTAGAAAAACTCGAATTCTAAACTCGAATCAGCGAAGTGAACGGGGCCTAAACATGTCATCTAGCTAATAAAAAACGAGAGAAAGATCATAGATCATTCTTTGTTTTTAACTTTCTAATTTTTAGTTTTAAAAAATTTTGTTTGATTTTAAATGATTAATGGTTAGCATAATATTCAAATGAATTATAAAAATAACTCAGGACATTTTTGATAATTTTTTTTTATACAATCTAAGTACTCGAATGATTCAAGTTTAAGATGTCTACCTTTAACCCACCAATTCCTTGCGAACTGGGCTAGCACTAACTGGCACATTTGGTATTTCAGAAACTTTAACAAGTTGAATGGTTATTTTTCAACTCTTTTAAAGCTCTGTAGAATATTTTTTATAGATTTATCAAGACATATAAGGACAAGCGTGTTATTCACTTAAAAGTTAAAACTGGAGTAATTTTTTAGATTTTTATCGCTCGGAAACGAGAAATGAAATGAGAAGTTTGGCTCGCTTAACTGGCTGCGGCTCGGCTTCAATTACCAAATTGGGCGTTAGATTTTCCTTTTGGAGATAGATATAGAGATCGAATGAAAATATAATATTATTTTGTACACGCATATGTTAGAGCGAGAGAATTTTGGCTTGGTGGCTTCGCGCTCTTCGTGAAGAAGAGATCAACATCTCTATTTTTTTTGTTTTTTGTTGATAAAAAGAAGAGATCAACATTGATCACGACGACAAGTGAGAAGGGCAGTGGCCTTTCTTCTTAGCAAACACACTTTGTTTCTAAATAAATTACCAATTATGCCACTGCTGTGGGTCCCCGTTCAGTAATATTCTTTCTTTTTTTAATCAGAAAATCTCAACCGTAGATGTACAGACTTGATGGTTGTTGATTGGGTGACAAGAAAGTAGCAGAGCACGGCTCAAACTTAGCGACCAAGATACTAAAAAGAGTTGACTGATTAAGAGAAAAGACGAAATAGAATTCAGTATTGTTTTTTTTTTTTTTTTTATCACTTCATTACTCAAATTACTACCGTATTTTTTTCATATAACTTTAAATTTAATTTTTTATTATAATATTTTTTTTTACATCCACAATTTAAATCATTACTTAGGGCCCGTTCACTTCGCTGATTCGAGTTTGTAATTCGAGTTGAGATGTGATTTTGTGTGAGAGCTTTTTACTGTAGCAAAAAAGAGTTTAGCTTATAAAACTGGGGCCCAGATGCGATGCTTTATGACTGGATGACTCATCACAATAAGAGAGTCTCCACGTGTGAAAGTATAGTCACGGGAAATGGACCCACGCATGCAGTGGTGCCACGTCAGATGCATTTGCTTGTTTTGGGAGAAAATATATTGCTTTTCCTCGTTCGTTTCGCTGATTCGAGTTTAGAATTTGAGTTGAGATGTGATTATATGTGAGAGCTTTTTACTGTGACAAAAAAGTTAAATGTGATTATTTGTGAGAATTTTTTACTGTAACAAAACTCGAATTCTAAACTCGAATCAGCGAAACGAACAAGGCCCGGTGTGGGCAAGACGTATTCAAAATTCAAAAATAATAACAAAAGGTAACTCTAGTTTTGAATTACAATTTTGCTCCACGTCAACTAAAAGCAATTAAATATTAAATTTAATAACAAATTTACCACTAATTATAAAATTTAAAAAATTTAATACAATAAATATAATTATATTAAAGAGTATTTATTTACACTCAAAAATAAAATTTACAATTGTAACATGAATTGCTCTTAGATTGGTAGGCGTCTCGTTGAAAATTGAAGGTATTTTACATTTCGTTAATTGAAAGCTTTTTATATTTCTTTCTACATTACGTGTCATGCTTTTTTCACTTTTGTTTATTTTTAGGACCGGATTCTCTGTACTTTTTACAATAAAATGCTCTACTTTCACTCGCTACTCTTTTTGTTTCCCCTTCTAACGAGATTTTTTTTCGAGGGGAGGGGGTGAAATCTTGAGACAAAGCAATAACTCTTTTTTTTTTTTTTTTGCATTACTTAAATCCGCATACACGTGGCAACAGAGCAGAGTGGTCTTATCGCCAATTCATCTCGCAAATAAAAACACTCACTATCCCCACTCTATTAATATGCATATGTTGATAAAGTACGAGACATGTTTTCCCATCACAAATTTAGGGTACTCGTGTTGTTTCACTTATCTGTTGCGTTATTTTCATTGTAAAATAAATAAATAATCAATACAACCATACAAAACATTAAGTTAAAAATAAAAGAAAAGTAGTTTTAGATTTTCTTATATATTAAGTAATATATTATACTCAAAATTATATATTATAGCATATTATACATAATATATTAGCTTAAAAATAGGATATAATTAAATGGGGCCGGTAAAAGGGGGAATAGGATCGAGGACTTTTAAATCCATTTTAGCCATGCGATCTCCTGACGGGTTAAAATTTTAACGCGTTTACAACCTGAATCCGCTTAAAACAAATTTTTTCTACCCCGTTTAATGCAATTCCCCGCATATTAATGAGTTAACAGATAAAATTATCATCTTTAGGCATAAGCTACAACTCATGTTTAACATTTGTGTTCATTCTTTTTTCATTATTTTCCTATAATGAACTTGACTTCAAGATCAGGTTTTTTGTTAACTAATTTCTCATTAGTTTTCGCTATAGAATTTCTCATTTTATAATATCATAGTTGAGTGTCACATGCTACACACGTGATGAGTAATTTTATAACTTTTATATACGTGTTAAGTTTTGATTACGGTGTTATTAATTTCTTAATTTATTTAACAATAGACATTTTATTTGGTTCTTGACATACAGTTAACACTAATATATTCATATGAATCACTTTTAAAGTTAACACTAATATATTTATATGAATCACTTTTAAAATAACAAGAATTACATGAGAAAAAATTAGGTAGGGATATATTTAAAAAATATATATTTTTAATAGAATAGTCGAGGAAAAAAATATTTAAAAGAAATGCATAAAAAAGAATTAAACTTTAGAAGAGCTTTTGAACAAAAATAAAGAAATAAAAAATAAGTAGAGATACATATAAAATAAATTACTTTAATAGGAGCAAGGAAAGGGAAAAAAACAATTTAAAATTACCTCAATATGAACAAATTAGTAAAGTTGAAAGGAGCAAGTGAGAAAAAAAAAGTTAAAAAACATATAAGAATTTAATTATAGAAGAACCTTTGGCAAAAAGAGAACCAAAGTAGAAGTAGAGAAAGTTATTTCAACAGGAGCAAAGCATTGAAAAAACAGTATTCTAAAAAATTACGCTGTAAAAATAGAGGAATTTTTGGCGAAAAGAGAAAAAAAAAAGATGAAAAAGAAAAATGAAATTAGACATTTTAAAATACAAAATAAGAAAAGAAAAGGAGGGATGAGGCGAAGAAAAGAAACAAAATATCAAATGACAAAAGCAATAAAGGAGGAAAAAAAAAACAGAAGGAAACAAACGAAACAGTGGAGGACGAAGAAGAGGAAATGAAAGCATGGATAATAGGACATCGAACTCACTATCTATTTCCCTGCTATATGTAAGATAAGACAAGATAAGATGTAAGATAAAGTGCATGTAATGGGTAAAAC